GTGCCGCGAAATTTTCCAAACGGATTTACCATATTTTTCATATTAATCCAAAAATGTATAGGGATAAACTATTAGGACATCATTTTTGTCTGAGATGTCCAGTCTGAAAAATGTCCAGTGACTAGTACTAATTAATTCTGAAATAGGTGAATAATAATTATTAATAACAACTTGGAGCTTTTATAATTATCCAAATTTCAGAGTAGTGTAAAATTTAAAACATGAAAATAATATGAAATACAAAATTAAATTAAATGGTGCTCTCTCTATGGTTCGCCATCCAAGAGTAAAGAGCACCTAATAATTTAAAAAACTTTTACTGCCTTGTAAATTTAAAATCAAACTATATATTAAGAGAAATAAATAATTAAATTGTAATTCGTTTATCGAACAACTAATAAATATTAAATTTAAGAAACTTCAAAAAATCTTCAGGCATAATAAATGAGAGATATTGTGAAGCCTATCAAAATCTTTTTATCAGGACCGTTGAGATAATTATTAACCGTGTTTGAACGTTCAATGCACGTGTCTAAATTTTACTGTAACATTGTATCGTCTAAATGATAGACCTAAAAGTTTTAAGAAATCAAAGGATAAAAATGTAATTTGACACATATGTATGAAAAATCACAACGTCATTGGTACAGAAATGCACAAGTCACGAAAGTGTTATTAACTAATTTCAGTCTGATTTGTAGGAAATAACCTTGTGACGCTCGTGTGTTTGCAAACCTGCGTCAAACATATTGTTTGATGGCGAAAATTTACATCCGAGATAAGAAGGTAATAAATTTATACATAATCTCGTCTTTTCGCTAAACGAATCATTTCCTCCTGTTTCCACTAATCAAACGATGTTCCTAGTATTTGGTAATCAACAATGTAATAGAGCCATAGATCATTTCTTTCTATCATTCATAGATCCCACATTCTTATTATAATAAAGCTTTGGCAAATTTTGTAAATTGATGTTGACTAATTATCCTTAATTGGTATCTAATCACATTGGTTTGTTATCAAACAACGCAAAGAATTAAATCAAAAATCCAATGAAGCCTATGTGTATTCAATATTATGCTCTAGATTCTATGCAAATATTGAATGATAATAAAAAAATAATTTTGTATATTTCTACATAATATAATGCAAAGAACCTGACAAGCGTATAATTAACCCTTGAGTGCCGTACCAGTTTAAAATTACGAAAATTAAAATAATATGAAATACAAAATTAAATTAAAATTGGAGCTTTCTTCATGGTCCGCCGTTAAAGGGTTAACCCTACAAAGACTAAAAAGAGAATGGAGGAATCGTCGAATCCATCAATTAAAAAATATTAAAAACATTTTATTTATATCATCTAGAAAGTTTCTACAAAATTATTTATTTTTGCATATAAAGCTTTTTCATTCTAAGGTAATTAAATTAATTTAATAAACGTGAAATTTTTCTTAGAAACACTTTGAAAAAGACATTGAATTTACGACTGTGACGTTGACCATGTCTGACGTCAGATACGATTTTGAACAAATAACAGAGTTGAAAATCCATATTGATATACGAAGTAGTTCACTGTAATGTTTACTTAGTTTACATCTGGTCGTAACAGAATTGTATTTACGAAAAGATGTTGAAAATGACGATTACTAAGCAGCTTCATCGGGATTGATACTTTTAATTATGTCTACCCTTCTGGCGCCGTCTTTTAAGAAAAAAGTACACGACTATAAAACGCGATTCGTTTCGTAAATAATTCCGATGGAATTAAGTACATTGACTTTTGAAACCTGTCAAACAGAGTTTGTGACTTGGGTCACACACAAAATGAATTGTATGTGGAATATCACATTAACTAAATGATTGATTCTGATAGATACTTTTTCTTTAACTCTTGAAAGACGGTGGCAGGGTCAATCGTGACCCACACCATTAAGTTTCTTAATCTCTATTTAATTTGGAAATTAATAACTTAATTTTCCTCAATTACAATTAGCCTTCCAATCATCACACTATTTCACTAATTTTTCAAATAAAAATATTAATTATTTAAAAACACCATGAGGCAATAGTTATAAAGAAGTAATATTGTAAGCTAAATGTTTATTATAATGTTTCTTATAAAATTTCGGTCAAAATAAATTTCAGGCGTAAATATTATAAAACATTAAAGTCGTTCTAACATCACTGGGCATTACATTACGTAATATAATAATTCGAAATTTATCATAATCTTTAAATCTTTGATCTCGTATCGAATGGTACTCTATTTAATCAGATAGTCTTCTCTACAAAAGAAATAACATATCACGCACAAAAAAATGAGCATATTTCTAAGAATATTTATTAAAAAACGTTGGAGTAACTCCCATGTCATTAAAATGGCACTTATTGAATTCTACCACTATCCTGCTTAATAATTTTCTTATTTACCTTTTGATGACATCAATAATTTTTAATTACCATACAAAAATACAAAAATATTATATATTATATTATGGAATAATTCAAATATTAATTAAGATAATTAAAAGGGCACTTATCGAATTCTGCTATCACTTCTACTTATTTTTCGATGGCATAAAAAATCCTCAGTTAAAAAATTTTGTTTTCCTAAAAATTTATCCGTTTGGAGGTAAACAATATTTGTAAGGAAATTAAAGTTAGAGGTAGATGTTATACACAAGTTGTCCAAACCGCATACCTCTGTCCTTTTTCGATGCGCATTGTCGAAGATAGTCTAGATTAGACGGTACCACGACTTAGAAGACGTTGATGAGGTCTATATGAAAGATGGGTCAGGGTCATGCACAATGCACCGTGTACACACAACGACAAAACTTCGCAATACGAGGCTGACCCGTGCGTCCGCAGTTACGCGATCGCGTCGCTTCGTGAGGCAGGAATCGGAACAGACTGTCGAATTTTAACAAATCCTATTTATCTTCGATCGTTCGAAATCGTATCAGTTCTATCGTGACACGCAGTTGATTCTTATATATTATACACTCGATCGATTGTTTGTTCAATTTGTTTATGCGGCATTATGTGTGCAAATAATTATAAGAAATGTAGATGTTAATATTGTTTCTGAGTAAAAATAAAAAACATGTTATCTTGATTATCTAATACGTTCCTTGAAAAAGTTAAGTGGATAATCGTTAAAAATAAAATGCGATATTTTTAAATTTAAAAAAGGTACAAGTTCTCTGGATTCAGAAGATTCCCTTTTAAAAGTTACTCTAACCTAACCCTTTTAATCCGACCATCTCTGCCGGAAACTGTACCCTCGCGCTTCTATATTAAATTACCTAACCGAGTATTCGAAAGTACATGAAATAATTCTGTGAATAAATTTTATTTTTTTATTTTATATTTTTAATGAAGCTGTAAGAAATGTATTATAATTCAAATTTTATGAAAATGCTAAAATATCTTCACAGGCTCTTATATTTCTAAATTACCTGTAATGAGTAATTAAGACACAGTAATTGTACTATCACACAGGAGTGTAATAAAAAAAGATAAAGAAGACACTTTTTAATCCGCAACAGTAATTTGATGTATCATGTCGAAGTTACACGAGTGCAAAGAAATAAGCAGCAATCGTGATTTTTTTTATTTAAAGAAGAATAAGACACTTAATCCTTCGGTAATGCCAAAGCGCATCCTCCAGGAGCGTACCTAAGGATGCGATCGATAAAGACATTCTGACGTCACGAGGATGTACTGGAATTCATTAAACGACTGGGTCTTTTAAGTCGGTCTGGTTAGGCTTAAAAATTAAAAGGCTCTCAAATAAAAACTCCCTTCCTTGGATTTCCGTTCTTCTCTTGGTAAACGAGGAATAAACCAGAACAGCCGATTGGTCGATTCAACCCTTTATAGGACTATAATGGATGCACATCTAATTGATATAATTCTCTGTTATCTCAAGTTTTTAATCCTTTCAACACTACTAGGTGTATTTATATTTACATCCTAAATAACTTTGAAAATTTATTTCGAGTTCAATATTATCCCAAATGTTATACAATTTAAAAGTGATTCTCTTTTCTCTTTTCCTTTCTCCTTTTCCCTTCCTATTTTCTTATTTCCATTTCCTATTTCTCTCCCCATTTCCCCTTTCGCCCTTTCATATTTCCCTTTTTCGCTTTTCCATTTTCCCTTTCCCTTCTCCCCTTCCTTTTCCCATTTACCATTTTCCATTATAATAATCATTCAAAAATAAAAACTGGCTACCCATATAAGAAATGCGATAAGAAATAAATTTGATGTCGTTTTGTATTGCAACAAAATTGAAAAGGCTTTCAACTAATCCTCATCTCTTTTAATGTTTTCCACTGATAAAGTGAAGTTTAGTACTGCTGAATGAGAATCCCATTATTTTTTGGTATTTCTTCATATCTAAAGCTGGCTTTAGACATTCATGCAATCTCCACGCATTGGAAAATAAGTTTACCTAAATAAGCTTTTCGACTTTTTTTTTTTAAATGCCATCAATTGCTTCCAAGAAAGAATGTTAATGATAAGGAAATATACTCACTTGTTCTCAAACAGTTTGGTCAAACGCTACTGTCTTGTCAACTGTGTTACTTTATTTATTGGAGAATTAATAATGGAAGCACATTCTTCTTTTTCTTTCTCCAAAAAGCAGTATATCTACTATTTCGACACCTGACATTTAATAATCGGAAATTAATTAACGTAATATGAACGATTTAATAAAAACATACCTTTTATTTACAAACAGATGGAAATAACGCTGAATAATCGTGTAAATATTTTAACAAATTGGAATGTAAATTACAAGGAAATCAAGGTTCAATAATTATTAAAGGCTGAACAGTCTCTTAGGTCCACATTTAAATATCACTTGCATTATTTTTTTCTTTTTAAACATAGTTGATCAATTTTTGAAACAATTAAAAATTAACTGTTAGTCTTGAAAATTAAAAAAATTGATGGAATAATTGATAAAGTTGATCTGAAAGTTAAAACTCCTAAATATAAACGGTGGCCAGTTAATTTTGATTTAATCATTATTCGTTTTCTAATTCACATTTCCGTTCATTTCTCTTCTCTTCTCGTTATCGACCAATGGCGGCGCGGGTTCTTCTTTAATAAATTCACGTCGTCTGTCGCTCTCATGGGTACCATAAAGATCTAAATTCTTCCCAAGATAACAAACCACTGCATCGAAAATTACTCCTATAATCGAAAATCCTGAAAATCATCTTAAATTCAATAACTCTGCAAAACGAACTTAAGAAGAAGAAACAATTAAAAGGCAACCCTTGTTTACGGGAAAGCTTATATCATTAGCTGTAATTTTATAAATTTTGAATAAAAATATTTATAAAAATACCTAAATACAAATGCAAAACTCCATTTATATTAAACTTATAGTTTTTGTTAAATAAATTTCTAAAAATTGCATTAAAAATGTTAATGACACTAAAAGTTAAATTTTAATGTAAATAAAAGAAATGATACTTATAACAAAAAAAGTTTAATAAAATAACAATTTTAAATTAAGATTCGTTCCCTAATCTGAACCCTTATTTTTCTAACTTAAAAGTGTCCTAAATAAACAAACATTCAGATGTACTATTTGAAAGAAATATTATCTTTAAAAAAATTATAGGCAGATATTGATAAAAGTTTAAACTGTAAACAGTGATAGAAACTTACCCGCCGATGTTACGTTGACTAAATATCTGAAGTTCTTCCCGTGATGGAACCAGCAGTTCCCTTTGGTACCGCACGACTCTTCCCAGATCAAACAGGTTGAATCAATAATGGCTCCATAAATAATTGGACCCGGTATTAATGCAAATAAAGAGATGGTCATTATAGTAATACCCTGAGCGAAACTTTTATCCTTCTTGTCGACACTACGGTAATTTACCAGGACGTTACCAATTTTTCCAGAGCAAGCTAACGTCTGTATGATACAGCTAAGAACAGTGAACAAAAGATACGGTCCACTGCAGTCGTTCGAACAGATACCAGCTCTAACTTTGTCATAATTGATCGTTTGTAAATTGTTCGAATAGATCAATTGATCCTGTACCAAAGGCTGCATGGTATCATAGCCAAAAACGTTTTGGAAATTTGATACACTTGATAATGGAAGGCAACTACAATTTCCAAATTCCTTGTCGTTGATTATGGTTCGACAGCCTGCGTGACACGCTGAGAAGAATGTCGTCTTTGATGACACGTGGCATACCGGGGAGTACTTAACTCCCTCGCAATTGCAAGCTTCATTACAACTCGACGTCAGAGTCATTCTGAAGTAATAATTAATAAGCAGTAATTAGTAATAGTTCGGACCTAACTCTTCCAAATGGTTAGCTTTCAAATGGTGCTTACATCTACCTTAGCCATAGATTCTAAATTATATTAAAACTCTGACTACAAGAGTAGAAATTATGGACATCATAAAGCAATTTAAATAACCTATTTTTAAAAATTTTGGGATCAAATAGTTAACAAAATTTGGAGTATCTGTTTCTATCTGGAGGTGAAGACTGGGGGTGGAGAGTGGAGTGGAGACAGGGGAATTCTGTTTATAAAGAAAAATTAGGATTCTCTTAAAATATACTTGTGATACACTTGTCCTGAAATTTCTGAAAATAATCCACGATAAAAAAAGAAAACGTACTCACTGCATAGTGTCTAAATCAAGACCCTTGATTCCATTGTCAGCACAGCCGAGGAATATGAAAACTATTTGACCAGCGACGAAACAGACCCCGACAAACACATTCCATGCTAATAGTGGTCTGGGTCCAGGTTTAAATTTGCTAATAATCATTCCAGATAGTAGAAATCCTAGTACCATTCCTATCAGCGATACGGGGCCTAAAATTAAAATGATCACAAATATTCGTTAATTATCATAATTTTCCTTAACTTCTATAAAAATCAAAATTTTATTTCTAATTATTTTACAATCTTACAAAATCGCATACCTGCAATCACAGTACCATTAGCAGCAAATGTGCTATACTGAACTTCCAGATACTTAGCTAAAAATGTTATGTAAGCGGATGCTCCTAGCACATAAAACACGCCACTTAAATTGTTAAACGTTAACAGCCAGTTTGTTAACAGCCTCTTCATCGTTTTTGGAAATTCACGAATTGTTGGAATGTGTACAGTCTCTAATGATTTTCTTTGCTCCATCGGTTTCATATACTGCTCCTGCACGGTCAATTGCAGTTTCAGTGGAATACTACCATCCTAAAAATTTCATTAATTAGGTATGTTAATGAACTATACGTCTATTGATTTTATTGCTAATGTATCATCGTTTACCTTTTTGGCAGTGTCAATAGCAGCCTTTTTTGTAGGCAAATCTTTTGGAAACATGGCTATTAAGATAGCAAACATACCCATTGCGACACCTAAAATAATCCAACCTAGCCACCATGCACCCAACCATCGTGGATCCTTTTTAGTGATCACTGGATGTAAGCTTGGATCTATGTACAAACTTAGACAACCGTAACCCAATAAGAATCCTATTGCTGGTCCAACCGTTCTCAATGCAAATGTAAAACCTAATTAAAAATATCAGAAATTCGTTTAAACAATGATAAAAGAAAAGAAATATCGAATTAATTTCCAAATTTATTTTAATAAACTAAAGATCTAGGGAAAATAAAAATAGCTAATTTATACAAATTTGTATTATTTTATCACTCGTGATTCATTGAAAAAATCCAAATTATATAATTTTAGTAATAAAATTTATTTGAATGAAATATTTAATAAATAAATTTGGCTAATATTCTAAAATGTAAACAGTACTTACCTAGAAGCATCGGAGTATTCTTCTTCTTAGTATTATCATCAAGGTACGTCTGACCAAGGCCATAATAAAGAGTGGTACCAATTCCAAGGACAAACTGAGAGAGGAAGACTAATAATCGTGGAAGGATACTGACGTCCAACAGCGTCTCCTCGTCACAGTGTTCCGGTTTGACATCACGTGGACATATTGCTAGATCCTTTGGGATTGTACTAGTGTTTAACAAAGTTTGATCAAGATACTCCTTCGTCAAAGCCAAAGCGTCTCTTCCTGGTCCGTACAAGAAATGTGGAAGTGCCAAGATCAGGCATGAAACAGCGCTGAGACCAACACCAACTGCGATCCATCTTGGACGATGCCCCGAACCACCGTAATAGATTAATACCAGGGACAAGATTTGAGAGATCTCGTTGCCGGATAGAATTAATCCTGAAATATATCAATAATTAGTAATGTTCTTTTATTTTACAATGCTAAATTAAATAACTAAAATTGACGAAAACAAATTAAATGATTAACTACAATAATTAACCCCTCAACGACCGATTATCGAATAACATAGCAAATTGATACAAGGTCAACTTTGACCCATACTGAAACTTTTATTATACGAACATTAAAATCAATTTATAATAAATAAAGTATCCCATTGTCAGTGAATACAGTCATAAAGGTACTGTAAGTAATTGAATAATTTTTATTAAATGAAGACTTTTCCCCCTTAATTTTCACTGTAAAATTATTAAAACAATATAGAAATCCATGATTTTTAAGAAAACGTAAATATCATGTGTGTCGTTATTGAATTCCAATGATCGGTCGATCGATCGAATCAACGTAATAACAGCGACCTCGCCAAACCACGAAGTTCCCGAACGAACGTAATACGCTCGTGTATAGAAGGGTTGTATCGATTTCTCACTATGTAACAGGTAATTAACACCTATGTGTATTGGTGATGCAAACAGTGTTTCATTAATGTGTCAGTTCATGGTTAACGAATGCAAAACCAAAACTATTAATTTTAACAATTTGACAACTTTTAACTTTCGCAATTTTAATTTAATAAGAATCATATTCTAGAGTTTCATGCAATACATAAGTATTGCAGTTTACTGGTCGAAGCAATTTATTTTTTCACCTAAAATTATCCCTTAATTCCAATTGTACCATAGTTAGAATGACATATTATGACTAACTAATAAACTCCTATAAACGTACATCCGTATGTCTTCATAGTGCGTGTTGAACGCTCGTTGCTCTAACGACAGATTTCTCACTTCTATGATTGCGACACTCTACTTACCTACTAGACAAATGTACACGAACACACGGTTTATCTTTGCTCGGGGTCAATTATATGTGTATGTGCGTAAGCATAAGTACTTGAAAGTGGTAGACTCACGACACTTGGCTAGCCAGTTTCAGTGACAAGAGAAATCCTAGTGAAAATAAGAAGCTCAAAGCGTTCAACCATTCAGAATTTATCATCTTTCTCAACCAGTTTCATTGTTATCAAATCAATGTGGCACATACAATGTAACGTTTTAAATGATTCCTATACAAACCTAACGCTTTCGTATTAATAAAGACATAGTATGAGGGAAAGTGATTAGGTTTCGATCGTTTATGTTCCCAACTAATTTTCTTATTGTTTTTGGCTTTTAAAAATTCTGAAAAAATTCTGGAATACTTACCGAGGGCTCTACTTTAATACATAATCGTTCATTGAGTCAAATGTTTGAAGAATTAATTGGGGAAAATAAATATTCCAAAAGAAGTTTGGAAGAAATTGAAATTTGCTTTGAATAAGAGATCAGTAAGATCTTATTTAGAAATCTTGAAAAATATAAAAATCCTAAAATTAATCATTTGACTCATTTTTGTTTTCATTGTTGGTTTGTTATCATGATTGATGTTCATACCAGTTGTACGACTAGGTATTTTGAACCTCTTCTCCAAAGTGGTGAGGGTGACCACTATGTAGATAAAGGCCATCGCCTGTACAGTACCAAGTAGGCCATATACTGCGATGAAGTTTTTAGGGGTGGCACGATCTCGCAGCCAATTGGGATAAATCCCAAAAATTCCACAACCTTCGCTCATCCCTCCGATTGCGCTGTAACATTTAAATATTCTATATTTTACATCGACTTCAAATACAGTGATGTATATTTTACATCGTCTAACTTGTTACATCTGGCTGAGAAGACTAACAGTCATCATAGAGATAAATTAAAAATGACTTGCAAATTTACTCGAAAAATGTCTACTTAAATAATATAAGTAAAAAATAAGCTATCAAGGTCATGATTACGAAGAGTGCATCAACTTCTCTATGCACTCTTCGTAGAATTGCTTCAACAGTGATAAACCTGTTATCTATCATTGTGACCTGTGTAATTATGTAAAAAGTAATGGCAACCTCATTATTTATTACCATTATTTTTTCAACTTTATGGACACATTAGTATGTACAATGAATTATGTTCGTATGTATGTTACATTGTATGTTTTTAATTAATATAATGTAAATATTAATATTTCACATATTCTGCTACCCTATATTTTATTTTTCAGTAAGCTTAGATAAGAAAATTTTCTTTTTACAAAACTAATTCTATCTAATTGAAAAAAACAAAGCAACTTTTTCTTTATCCTTCAAATAAAACTATAACTTTACATTTTCACAAAAAATTCAGTGAAATTGTGCAAAATTTTGAATAGAATATCACGAAAAATTCTATAACATTAAAAAATACCTTTTAATAAAATTAAATTATTTAGACTTCATTTTCTTAAATCAAATAACAAATCTATCAATTTGATTTGTAAACCATTGTGAGAAAAGTTTCCAATTGAGAACAGAAATTTCAGAAAACCAATCTTATCGGATTAATACCTTTATCGGCAATAAATTTCGTATTTGAATGACAATGGTGCATGTGTTATCGTATCGAGCCAGTACTATATCAGTCTCAATCCAATTTACTGATATAATAATTATTGTATTCCTAGGGTGATTTCTGCAATTAGTATTCAACCGATAATTATTATTACTACCAAAGAAATGGAAAAATTCAAAATACAAGAATTAATTGACAAATTTAACTATAAATAAATAAAATATAAGATAATTGATTATCTAATTTTATCAATTTTGGGCCAATTTTGGATAGAGTCATAATAACTCGCTCTATCTTATTTGAAATCTTATCTTATATTTCATACTTAACATTTTAAAACAGATAAAGCAAGTTATTCTGATTCCACTAAAAATTGACCTACTCAGAATTCATCTGAATAGAAGTAATCAAGAATGCAATATTCAAATTATAATTAGACAATCATTACATTAAAAGTATGCAAAAGTTTTATAGGATGTATTTTTTTATTACACTAATGTCGACCATTTTTTATAAAAACCAACATGGATCACAGTTATATCTATTCATACTACTAATAAATAAATTACAAAAAATGAGCGAAAAGTCTGTATAAAGATATGTAATTCGAAGTTTACAATAATGACGCATTTATGATTATGTCTATATTTTTGCCAGCTAATGGAAAGAATATTATTTTTCAAAATGCATTGAACGTCAAAATGTTACTGGCATAATTGATTTATTTACAAATGACTTCCTTCGTAATTGTCCACGGGCACCTGAGATGATTACGCAATTGCAATTTAACACAGTATAGATTTCGTTGTGACGCTCGGAGACCGTATTAATACGGAGTTTCAGCCGATTGTTACTTCCGCCTCGCTGTGCTACAAGAAGCACGCTAAGAATTGCACATCCAACTTTGCTATAAGCGTACAAGAAAAAAAGGTAGGATACAAAGAATATTTTCAAACAAACTGCTGGATACGTATTTTTCTTGCGAAACAAAATTTTCGCCCCAATTGGTTATTTATATTTTTAAAAATGCACAATAATGGTTTCTTTATCCACGCACATTTAGACGATAAAATATTAACAATGCTGATAAAAAAAGAAACATGTTTCTCGATGATAACAATCGATCACAACTGTTTCATTGCTATTGATCAATTCGGAATAATTAAACACATGAACAAGTTTATCACTCTGATTTTTAATTAATCATGATTGCGAGGCATGCTCATTTTTATGATAACAAATGGAGATTAAAGAAAGATTAAATGCGAAATGTTAAATAATCATCTTCATAACGAATGCGTTCATAAGCATTCGTTGCTTCTAATATAAAAAAGTTTCCAGGTTAACTGTAAATAAAGCGTCATAAGTTGCATATTCAATACTCCACGCCTTTTTTCTTTAATCTGAATCTTATTATACTAATTTACAATAAAAAAAACCGTCATTGCTTTTGCATACATTCAATGTTTCAATTAAATAATTAAAGTAATGTATCAGCTTTTCAAATGAACATCAGTTAAGTAGTATGTGATACTAAAGCAATTATACTTTTGCAGAATCTTCATAACTATGCAACAAAATTTATAAGTCTATTGTTAGGAGAATGTCACACGTTGAAAGTCGAAAGCAACGTTATCTTCATCTTTACAATGAAACTAAAAGTATGTTAGTGTTTAATTACTGCTCTACCTTAATGCTAGAATTAGTTCTAATTAAACCCTTGTACACAGTTAAAATTTTTTTATTATACAAAAAACATAGTTAAATACTTAATGGAGCCAAATCAATTAACTTTTTATATAAAATAAAAAGTGGAAAAATTAATTAAACATCAATCAAGTGCATTGGCGCTAAAATTTTTAAAAATTCAAAAAGTGGAACGAATCACTTTGAATTTCTATTTTGAGAAATTTTAATTAAAAACAATGCACTAGAATCAAAGATAACAATATATTTCTAAAATAAGACATTAGTAGCATACAAGTGCAATCCGCGATGTGCAAGAAAATTTCCCTAATAAAAGGAGTAATTCAAACAGAAACGCTAATACATAATTACAGTAGACTGCAGAAGTTAAGTAGGAGGAGGAAGTGAAAACATATGAGAATTATATTGGTCTCACCTTGACCTTTGACCACGTGCCTCTGCATGGACTCAGGAAGGACTTCCAGGTCGCGAGTCCTGGATGGATCGCGATCCTCGAGTCTTTCCTTACTCGTCACCTCCCTCTTCGTGTATGAAAGTAAAGAAAAAAATCACTACGCGCTAGGAGCGCTCTAGTTTACGCGAATAAACGCGGGATAACTGAGGCTCGCTCTTGTGTCAATGGCAATGCTCCCCTACTACCTATTTCTCTATCAAAACGAATGATAAGCGGACCGTCATTCAGAGGACGGGTTATCAATGAAGCATTGGTGCTGACATCTCATCATCTTTGTGGACGATGACTCGAGCGAACCTGATTCCAAAGGTATCAGAAACTATTATCGGTTGCAGTCTAAACTAAAGTATGTACAGTATCGAGCAAAATAGGCTTCTCTAAATATTCTTGTGAAAAGTAATTTAAAAACAAAATAATATGATTTTAATTGAGAAATATAAAATATAGAATGTAATTAAAATTAATTTGAAATTAAAATAAACATTTTAATTCAATATCCAAGTCGTTAGAATAATGTCATAGTTAAAAAAACGAAATTTCATCATATGACCCTAAATCAATGATTAGAAATTGTATGTATGTACAGTACCGGGCATGGTAGGCTTCTCCAGGAAAAATGGCGATATCCTAAACTAAAGAAGCGCACCTTATAAGGGTCGCACCCCATGGAGGAAAATGACTTGAATTGATATTTATTTGTATACCAGTTTTATAGTGTTTAATAATTAAAGATCATATTATTTTTTTTTCTAAATTACTCTCGATATTAATATCGTCAAAATCAGGATTTTAAGGCTTCCTGCTTCCTCTATATCACTTATTTTTCCTAGGGAAACCTGATTTGATAGCGAGTGTATAATGATTCCTTAAATAAGTATTTAAAAAAGGACACACCATTATACGATTAAGCGATACACAATTGTCTGAAAATTAAGACTTTATTTCTTCTTTTCTTTTCTTCCTAATTTTTCGGTAATCAAAATTCGTGTTTCGTCGTCTCGCAGAGTTCAGATGTGCGAAAGCAACAGACAACAATAGTCACGATCTATCGTTTAAGATCAAGACGAGTTCGCATTCCTTTTTTTTATTTCTCTTAGAGACAATATACATATTTAGTTTCCTTTCGTTAATCTATCGATAGGATGCATAATATATAATTAATATTATTAAAAATAACAGACGATATATTACAACCGTTAATCCTAAGAGTATAGAATATTCAAAAGGATCGTAGGCACCTCGTTTTTCTTTATGATTTTCTGATTTCCTTTTTCTTCTTTCCTAATAAATTCGACCGATCACGTGGTTTCTTCGCTTCGTTATTAAGTACATGAACAATAATAATGAATAATCGATAATGACAATAATATCATCAATATCAATAGTAATAATTATTAATAAGTAATAATAATAATAATAATAATAATAAAATAGTAAAATAATAATAATATATCAATAGCATTAATTTATTTTCCTATTATCTTATTTAAACGATTATATAATAATTAATACTTAACACTAAGCCTTCCTAACAGCATCTCCTTCGCTAACTTTTTACAAGACTTTTGGTTTTCTCTTCTCTGCTTCATTAACGCCTAACTTAACATCCTAATGAACCGAGTTAACTTCAATCTACGATTTCGAAGGATTTAAGACTAGACAGACTCATTTTATTCTTCATAGCCTGACCCTTCGTCTAACCTTCTTCCTTCCTAGTTAATTATCCTTTTTCCTCATTTTCTGTTTCATTTCATTCTTTTTTTTTTTTAGTTTCACCCAGGATCGGATTAAGATTTCTGAGACCCGGGGCTATCAAATCTTCAAGGGCCTCCTTGGTTGATAAACGTGTTAGAAAAATTTAAATTTATACTAAATAAAATTAAATAACATTTAATCGTACTGAAAAAGGGCAACAGTGAAAAGAGATTACAATCGATATTTCTCGATATATTAAATGGAAGGCTTATAAAGGAGCCCCTCGAAAAGTGGGGACCGGAACCGTAGCCCCTACCCCAGACCTCCCCTTAAAACTCGGCCCTGGTTTCACCCCCTGTACACGTGTTAGCGAATAACATCGCGCTAACGAATCGCTGACTAGTTTCTTAACCATTAAAGACTATTCGACCGTGCTAATTAAGGCACCAGATCACTTGTAAAAATGGACGAACGAATTCTTAGCGTCGCAAGATTCCTCGTAACGCTAGATAAGTGGCTATTTTTGCGTACGAGTTAGTAATTTATGGAATCGATCCGTATTTAGAATACATATTACAAAGAGACGTGTTTGGCAATGTTTTGGTATGAATTTCTAAATTTAACCGAACGTGTAACTTAAACAAGCCTACGAACTGTGAGTGTGTACATACATGTGCGTCTATTTGCGTAAACGTAACGTGTCAAAATCCATTCTGATGAACACAGGCATTTGTTAAGAATAAATTATTGAAAATTGAGACAATTTTTTACTACAGCCTTAATAAGGAACTATCAATAAATTCTACTAATCTTCCATTAGTAGCATTAATTAAATTGCTGAGTAATCGATAAAATGTTTGTAATTATTATTTACAAACCTTCAACAAATTTTACATGTATAACCGAAAAACTACAGTTTTGTGTAATTGTAAAGTTTTTCATAGTTTTATAATATGTGTCAATGTTTGATTTATTGATTATAAATATTTTATTTAAAAATATCAATTCGTTCGTCCGTTGGTCCTCGTTACATTCGTACTACGATACGCTGATCAGTTCGTTTAAATAATGTCTATAAATCACGCAAAGGCATTGTTCCTAAGACACTTGATGATCTCGCTCGTACGCGATTCTAAGGCAACATTGGTCTAAACGCGATCACTGTTTATTTAGAATTTCTGAACGTCCCTTTTTTCGTTTAAACAATCACCGTGAATATTTGTTGATCGTGAACCTATATACCGGATAAGTATTTGTGACCATGGATATAAAAAAAAAGATTGAGCTTGAAATAATTATACAAGGTGTTCCAATTTTTTTCTGACAAAATAGAAAATATTCTAAAAGATCTTCTTAAAAAAGAAAAATTTAAGAGATAATTGCATGGATTGATTAAAATGAAACACCTTGTATAACATTGTTTCCTACAGAAATTTTGGAACACCCTATATATTCAAACTCGCAAAATATTCAGATTCTTCGACCAATATTCAGAAGTGATATCCAGTGTTAAATTTCTCATTCTGGAAGATTGTAACAAAGTTACAATTATAATAAATCATTTCGTTTTATGTTATCGACAGTATCAATTCTGAATACGGATCAGTTTTCCAATTTGCCTGTACAATGATTAAACTCATTTCCCTCGAAGGAACTTCAACTTCAACCTAACAGAGTGTAAATTTCAATCACGATTACAAGGAATCTAGCGTTCGTAAAATGTCCGCGCGTCTATTGAAAGCCTCTATTGCCCATCGTGCTCCGTTTAATTATAAATTAATCATAACTCTAACGACATTACGTATTCGTCTTGTATATCGAAGTACGTTGGCCTAGACGTGCCAAGTTTGGCCCTCTATAAAGGAGAACGTGGAAAGGAAGATTAAAAAGTGGAGAGGATTTAGAAGTTAAGTTAGCAAGAAATTGCGAGTCGATTCTGACAAAGGAACATCACAAATCCTTATTCATCATTTTTCTTGAAATTTTCTGGCTTTATATACTCTATCCAACGAGACGAGACAGTAAATGCGCACAAATTCACGTGCTCGAAGCAGACCCGGTACATAGTACACAAACCTCGACCGTAACGTTTGAAGAACTGGAAACAACTGAGCTCCGGTCCTACGTCGAGGGCGTAAATTTGTAAACATATCCTGACTCGTCTGGTTAAATGGATGTAGAATGGTCCGAGATAAGAACGATGATATGCCTTATTCGTGCCCAATTGCCATTTACGGCTGGGAACCTAACCTCAAAGTCAAATTAACAATTTCCCATTTCTTCGCATACATATAAATCCACATTAAAAATATCTTTTTCAAAATTTTGTTAATGCAATCTTGTAGTATTTATTATACTATAAAATTTTTGTTAGAAACATTTTTCTCTATCTTTTATATGTAAAAAACAAAATGGGAGAAATTCGTTCAGACCCATTGCTCATTCCACAAAAATTGATTTTTTTTAAATTGTAAGACTAAACCCTTAAAAGATGGCTAAGCACAAATACAGTACATTATTATCTTTATATTGGATCATTCTATAAGCTCAAAAACATTCATCCAAATAAATGAACAAGGATTAATGTTACTCCCTCATGAGTGGCGCTAGTTGTTTCCACGAATTTCCTTCTCTGTCCGTCATTTTATGCGCCGTTTCTATAATTAACTCGTGAAAACGTGGAGTGAAGCTCCCAACGGTTGAAACAAAATGGCACCTTCACACCGAATAATGCCTGATCGTCGATAGAGACAAGAAAAAGATAGATCTCGACGCAGGTAACCAGGTGAGAGCTGAAATTTGTACGGCAAGAATGATATTTTGCATCGCATATTCGATGGTGCCGATTTCTTGTCTGTGACTGATCATAGTCTCTACTGCAATCTTGCTTCTTGAGGTGTCGTTTGATATGGGAGTCCTGGGAAGGCTGCACCCGCTGCCGTTGCAGCTGCAGCTGCTGCTGCTGGCAATCCTGCTGCACCTGGTAACGTTGCATACGTGTACGGTGTCACGTAACTTGCCGCTGCTGCATTCGCTGTAAAAAAATAAAATAAAATTGACCTTGGGAACCATTGTTAGATGTTATGTTGATTTTTGTGCAAATAATTTGAGAAAGGTAGACCAGGGTAAAAAATAACCATTTGGTTTTGCAAAAATTATTACAATTGCAAAGAAAAATTATTATCTATTTAATATTATTTAAGTGATCTGATTGAGATTAAAATGGAAAATACAGTCAACTAAATTATAGTAAATGCAAAATATGTGAAATATATATATTCAGAAAAAACTTTGAAACAAATGAAATTATTTAAAAATTATGAAATTTCTGAACTGTGACAAATGTATAAAATGTTGTACTTTGGACCATCGTTTACTCTACACTACAAAATGCCATTTTACCATCTTTTTTTTTATTCTTTTAAATCAAATAATTTAATTTTGGCCACCAGCATCAAATCAACCCTTCTCTTGAAATGTTGTATTTATCATGTAATTAATATTTTTTAACCATTTGGCAAAATACATACAATCATTGCGTAGTAAAGCTTATCGACTATTGTCACCCACCGTGACATTTGTTCCCACCACCACCGTAGACAGCACATCAGAGCAATTAATAAAATAATTTGCATGTTGAATGCAAAGCCAGCGTAAGCATGCAATACTGCATCTCCATCATTGTTTTTTTTTTAATGTATTTGTTGTACCGGCAGCGAAACATTCCAGCGCAAATCAAAGCATTCATCGTGTGATCATACTGCTCAGATAAAAAGGTGTCATCTCATAGAAATATTAAAAGAAACGAACTGCAGAAAGTTCTCCTGCTTAGTGCAACACAAGACCATTTCGTCAAATCAATGATACAAAACGTATGCTAACTCATTCTGAACAAGCGACAGGTGATACTAGATGTATTATTATCGATAACGTTATCGATAAATATCGATCTTTAGCAAGATTCCCACTACAATTCCTAGCCGTGCAAAATAAAGTGGAACTGTACAGTATCAAGCATGGAGGCTTCCCTAAGAAAGATGATGTAGAGAAAGAAGGCTCCACCACTTGCGTGTAAACGTTTACTCGAGAAATTTTTGTAATATTAATTTTTCTCAAAACTAATCTGAATATTAATATTTTGAAACTTAGGATTTTGAGAATTACCATTTTCATTTAACAAACTAGCAAATTAAGTACAATAAATCTCTCTCAAGTATTATAGAGAGTGGGGGGGGGCCTCCTTTTCCTACATTGCCACTTTCCCTAAGATAGCCTCCATGCGTGGTACTGTACCTCAAAAGGACTCAGCCGATGAATTTTTCTATATCTTCATTAAAATCACCCTGTATAATAAGACTTATAATAACATGATCTATCAACATGCACAAGCTCGTTAAAATTTAATCAGAAAATTAGCGGGAATGTTGCAGAAGAATCGTTTCCGTGAACTATTCTACCAAGACGAACACGACAACATTCGTTCTTTCTCTCGCTTTCTCTCACAGCACACATCAATCTTTCTCTCCCTCTCATTTTTTCATTGTCTCGTTGCGTTTGTGTTTTCTAATAATTTTCTACCGTTGCTACGTAGCACGGACGGCAGAAAGGGTGGCAAGAGAGCTTTCTCCAATCGTTGTTGTGCCAGCACCGCAGGGCTGCTACCGGTGTGCTGCTGGTGGTGGTGTATCAGCCCGTTGCTGTCCTTGCTCTGGACACTTTTCAAACACATACCAGCCGCGGCGGCGCTGGTATAAGGATAAGCCTCAGCGAAATTGTACGATGTTCCTGGATAACTGGCGGCCGCTGCGGCGACATTTTGATACTCGTAGAATTGGGACGCTGCTGCCATCGCCGCTGCATGAGTCAACTGCGTAGCCGGAAGTGGCACCAAACCACCTGGCGCCGCAGCCGCCAAGTATGGCGACTGGTACACGTAACCCGGTGGCACCCTGTAACGAAAATGATACAACGGTCAGAAGATTTCATCGACCAACTAGATTCACCACTCATACATCTAATTACGAATAATACTCGTTGACCTATCATGGTGGACTATGAAATGAGAAACAGATTGCTCTGGATGAAAATTGTACTACACGTAGAGTTTTAACCCCTAACGTATTTTTTACTTTCGAATATATTGTACATAATCAAATTTTTAGATGTGCAATTTAGGTTTTCCTTAATTAAGGGGAAGTTTGGAAATAGGAAGTTCTATGTTAAGTACCTTTCAAACTAGGCAAGTATCTTGAAAGGGGTACCTGCCAGAAGGGCTTTTTCTATCTCACTCTTGAGCTTGGGGCTGCCCCCCTTTCAAGTTACTTGACTAATCTGACTGATTCTTTTAAGACCTAAGGAAAATGATATAAGGCCCATTTTTTCTTCCTCCATAATCAAGAAAAACCTCCGTTGTATACAAGTGTACATAAGTACGTACATAGCTCTAAATTTCATTTTACTGTAAACGCAAAGGGTTAAACTACACTACGTGCTAAATACATGAATATATTGTAAAGTATATTGTAAAATACACTCGTATTCATATTCACATTTTTTTTTTAAATAAAACAATTGATGAAAATTGAAAAATATTTTTTCTTATTATTTAGTCCACCAAGATTACTACGTAATCACACCTGCTTTTTAAAGTAACCTATGGTCCACCAAGTTTCTTGATCTCGAACAGCTTTTCACGGTGTTCAAGGTAATCAATGAAAGTTGATGGACGCCGGAAGCTTTAACAGTACATTTCTCCCGGTGCAGTTATTAAGAACTCGGGGGAGAGGGAGGGAGAGATGGAGGGAAAGGCGTTTAAGTATTGATGCGTGTAAATGTGTACTTGTAATGAAGATAAATAATTTATCGAAAAATCGTTAAGCTGATTAACCCTAGAAATTTCAACTACTTTTTTCATTAAATAATATCTTTATTAAAACAAAAATCACTTTTCAATACTAATCTTGAAGACATAAGTGAAAATAAAAAACAAATTATTTTCTAAATGAAAAATAAAATATTTTTAATACTTTCTACTTAATCCATTCAAAGAGACTTCACCTAATCCTTTTAGGGTTAATACTTGATTGTATTAACACGTAAGTTTATACATCTGTGATTGTGTTTGAAGTCACAAGTGTGCCAAAAAGCTGTCAGAATCGACGAAAAACAAACGAAGTTTATCAGATAGACTGCATTACAGGAAGATCAATGATCATTCATGTGACTAAATTAATAATGTAATCATGCGACATTTGAATTGAATTTAAATGTCACTTACGATTAAATAAATTACCAAAACAAACGAGAATCGTACCAATATATTGCTGAACAATATTAAACATCATTCGATGTAAAATACAATCATTTATTTTCAACTAACATCTTTCTAAAGAAAACGAATTTGCAATTTTAATAAAAATAATTTTAGTTCATTTGGATAAAATTATAAAACACTGTGTTTAAAAATGAAAAAAGAAAAATAAATTAAAAATTAAATTTCAATTTGATAAACTAAATAAAACTATCACTTGTTTAAATATTAGTAACAGATACACCCTTTTTTCCTTTTATTTCATAAATATTATTTTACAGTTTAAAACCTTTGATTGAACGAGGGTGTCTTTTAATTTTCTCCATCGGTGTGTGTTGTGTGAGTGTAAAAATTGTATGAATGAAGAATAAAAGAAGGGAGGGAGATGGAGGAGGGAAAGCGGTGACGGTGTGGTATCACTAAAGGCGTGACAAAAAAATGCGCAACAAATCCAAGGAAAAGAAAAAAAAAAGTCCTCTCAACGTGTCGGCAAAACAACAGCAAACCAATAACAAACGTGTATTGTAGGTAACTTCACAAATATAAAGATACTTCTCGGCACACGACACACGATTGCCTAACACCAACGTTAGTACCTAAAATCCACAGGCGTAAAAACGAAAGAAAAAAACGAAAAGTGATCAATGTCACGGTAATCCCTCTGTCTCTATCTCTTTTTTCTCTTTTTCTCTTTGATGATGTAAAATCACTATAAAAAAAGAAAAAATACTCGTCGCCCCGACTCGATTCTCTATCGCGTGCTCTTCAATTTATGATATAAAATTGACGATGCTTAACCCTTTTAACCCGACGTTGGAAAACTCTATCAAATTTTCATATGGCATTTTGATGTTTTAATACTGTGATTTTTATCTTTATCATTACCAATGAAATTATAGAAAACACAAGTTTGCAAATTTGAAATTTACCGAATTTGGCCGAATGAAACGTCGTATTTGAGGAGTTCAAGAAATAACGAAACTATGAGAAATTAACGCAGCTAGTGTCGCTATATACGAATTTGGTAAATAAGTTGTTCGTAAATTGTATTTTGCAAAGGACATAGAGGTTCAGGAGACAGCCCTGAACTTTTTAACGGATCGATAATGGCCAGTGTCCAGTCCACGAAAGAAATCAATATGTTGTCCTGTGGCTTCGAATAGATAGTTCGTACAGTTCGTCGAAGGGTACCCATCGACCCGCATAACGTACGTACAATCAAGTGTTGCGATATGCGTGTCTTCGAAAACTTAAGTAGGTACAGGGAAATTGGGGCGTTAATTCAATTCGGAATAGCTACCTGCAAATCATTTTTGATTGAGCAATCTGTGCTTTTCAATCAAAGAGCCATCAGTAATGAAGAACATCCTAAATTCCATAAAAAATTTAAGAAAATATTTAGGAATTAAGAAAATAAGAAAGATTGTCATTGATAGTACTAATATTATAACATTACAAATTGAAAAATTAAATTTGGAATTATCTTTGAATGCTCGGTAATTAAAATTGCATACGTCTTGATATGTTAATTGAAGTTGAAGTAGACAAATGAGCAATCAAAGGTAGGAATTACAATACACATTTTATTATAGATGAAGGGGAGATCACCTGCTATATTTTTTTTTTTTTTGGTTGGACTGATCGCTTGAAAGATTAGTTTATCGGTGATCGTCGTAAAAATATTACAGTTGGCTCGTTACCAGATGGCTACCAGATGCTTTTCGAGCCACTTGCAGCCAATTTCTCAGTTCTAACAATTTCCCTGGACGAAAACGCTACGCCAAGTTTACGAAAATTAATAGGATACTTAAAATATTTCTGTCTGACCCCAAATAACGACAAAAATCTTTTACTTCAGTTGCTATACCTCCTACTTGATGTTCACGAAATGAGGATACATGTGTAATACGTCAAAATTCTATCTTCTCAAATCACACGATGACCGAAAATTTGTCCATCACAGAATACCCTTTTTTTATTAAATAAAATAAAATAATTTAAAATCACGCGCGTCATTTATTTTTTAAATTAAATGAGAAACCACCAAAATCTAAAATTTAAAATATTTTTGGATAATTAAAAAAATCTTGATTAGCCTATTTTCTAATCCAGTATTGAAGAATAATTAATAATTAATATTTAAGTATGCTTAGTAACGTATTAAAATTATTGAATGATCCTAATTCAATGACCAGAAACTATTAAAAAATCAGCTAATAAATATGCAGATGTTACGCAACTGGAACGCAATACCGAAACACCGAACCTTGGACAACCAAATAAATTCACGAAATCGTCTCATCTACTCTTGCATGATCTTTTCCCTTTTTCTCTGTCCTTCCATTTTCTATCGAATTTATCTTGCTAACGCATCTTTGCCGCGGCCCGTGCATTATGGATGGCTCGCGTGTCCTCAACCCTACTTTTTCTACTCTCTCTAATCTTTTTTTTTTTTTATTTTACTCAACCCTCCTTCATTTTTCCGTACATTTATATTCCATGTGTATTGTCTCTTCGTGGTTGTCCACACTATTTAATTCCAATTGCAATTCGACTGATACGATCAAATCTGGGACTTCCAAAATTTTCACGAATTGACATTGTTTAAAAATTTGAAAGGCGTTCTTAGACGCCTTAAAATTTAGAAAATGAGAATAAAAACTTATCGCAACTTTAAATCATACGTTGAACCAACGAAGATATTCGAAGATTGCACCGAAAATATTCGACAATATTTAAAATCCTTCTTTCAATAAATGCAATATTATAATCTTCCAATTGTTTAAAGATTGTCCAATTGTCTAATTTTTACAGTTGTCCGTAACAATCACTGCAGCAACTGTTACATTAAAAAATAATAATAATTTTTAAGAGTATTAATTTAAAATTGCGAGAATCAAAGATTCAACTATCACGCCTAAATATTAAACTCAAACTGAGCATCGAAATGCATTAAAGTGCATAAAAGTCACATCAGACATATGACAGTTTCTTGCATGACAATGTAACAATAAATCTATTCAAGGTTGCGTTCTGATTTCTCTTTACGATTTGCACTATCTAAATATGTTTGGCTTGCAACGAGTTTATGTCAAGATTAAAATGTTCATGTGTGCTGCTATCAAATTACAAAAATCAAAAGGAACACGAAGAAACTTTTAGAATTTTCTTTTTGTCACAAGGTCATATTAAAAAAATTTAATAGTTATAAAGTTATGCGTATAATTTTTAAATGAAAAGGTTTCATACATTGGAAGTATAATTTTTAAACGAACAGAGTAAAATTTAGGAAATGAAAATATCAAATTCAAAATTGTGGTTCTCTCCATGGTTCGCCATCCAAAGGTTTAGACTATTAACCCCTTCGTTGCACTATGTTACACGTATGCTACATAAAAAATGCTCTGATTTTTAAATATTTGTAATTATAAATTTTGTTTTACATAATATCGAAAATTTTCAGTATTCTACCATTTTCCTTTGAGTAATTTTTTAAAAAAGGAAGATATTTTATATTGTTTAATGCTAAACTTATTTTCAAAATTAAACAAAAAAAAATGCGACAAAGGGTTAAATCTATCATGAATTTGAATATCATAAATTTACATACTGAATTTAAATACTTATGTCAAATACGAA